ATAGATAGATAGATAGATAGATAGATAGATAGATAGATAGATAGATAAAGATATATTTTCTAGCTACGATTATTTGTGGCTGTTAATAGATATTTTTAGCTGGAATCAGTTACCTCAAAATCTTTGTCTTATATTTTCTGTAGTTCATCTGCCTGTCTAAAAACTGTCAGATGCCATTGGCTATTATCTACCACCATCTAAACCGGTGGTTGAATTTGAAGAAACAGCTGTATACATTTGAATAAAACGATAGGGGTAGTTTACATACAAATATGTGTACTGAAAATTGGAAAATACAACATGGATATCACAGGGCTATGCCTAAATGTTTCTTCTGCAACTGCTATTGAATATAAACTGTTTGAGTTCTTGAAGGTGTGGCATTCATCCCCATCTGTTGTGATATACAGAAAATCCTGCAGTTCTCATGGCAAGCTGTTAAATAAATTGGTTTACACTATTAGGACAACTTTATTTGAAAATATTAAAAACAGTTTTCAGCACAGACGATCTTGTAATATTGGTCTTTTATAGACATATCCAGGCAAATGTAAATCTTTATTGCTAGGCTCCAATTACTCTAAAGTTGTGTTCACAACATTGGCAAGCAGAATTTGCTCAGTATGGATTTTCAAATTAAGGTTTTAGAATTACTTTGTATAGTAAAATTTAACCAGTACATTTGAAAGGAAAGTTTAAACTTTGTAATACAATTCTGTTCATTGACATAATTGTAGCAATAGAATTTATGTGTTCGGAAATAATGGATGCTTTAGTGAGCAAGAAACATTTAAGTGGAATAGTTCAAAGCCTACAGCTACATGTTACCATACCAAATGTCTTGCATGAACACTGCAGACTGCAAATGAATAAAAGTGTATCTCTGGAATATATTCCGTTTGGCATGATACTGCATCTTGTCGTTTAACAATTTTTTATGTATTATAAAGTTTCAATTTAGGATGCTTATAAAACTGCATTCAGAGTTTTTCTTATATCTTTAAAAATATTTCCTTTAATTCTGGATGAAGAAAAAGAAAGATTTTAATAATAATTTACTGGTGGCAGGATCAGATCTGAAATTCATTTACATTTGCTGAGAGGAAACAGGGAGCCTTAATTCAAATCCCTATTCAACAAAAAAATTCTCTCAGCGACCTTGAGCCAATTATACGTGCTAAAAATAACATCTTGGGAATAGTTAGAAAATAACAGAGGAACTCATCTGACTATAGTATATTGAAGAAAGGGTAGAATGCACATTTGTATTATGCGTCATGGTAATGCCCTTATTCTCCAAAAAGTTTGGTGTATTGTACATTTTCCTCTTTTCTCATTCTTTTTCCCTTCCAATGTGATCCTAGCAAAAACCCTGAATAATTCATTTCTAATAGAGAAATAGTTTTGACAGGCTCCTGGAGAATTTCATAGCTAAATGTGATTTGATTCTCTTCTATCTTAAATTGACGGTTACATTTTTCACCATGTAGTGAAGAAGAGGAGGAACTGGCACAGACATGACTATACAGAATATGATGATGGTTCAAAACCAGTTCAAGCTGGAACCCGAACATTTGTTAAACAGCTACGTGCCCGTTCATTCCCAAGGTAAGATCAGTTGAAATTGAAAATTTAAAAGTATATGTAGTTGCTTCAAATAGTGATTCTGAATTCATGCTTTAACTATATCACTCTAGAGCAGGGGTAGGGAAACTTGGCTCTTTTATCACTTAGGACTTCAACTTCTAGAATTCCTGAGTGAGCCATAAAAGGTTCCCCATTCCTGGCTTACTGGTTTTTCAGTTGTGGGGGAAATCAATTTTTGACTTGAATGGGGCTGTTTAATATACAAATGTAGTCCGTCCTACATTTGTATGTTAAACAGTCCGATTCAAGTCAAAAATTGATTTCCCCCACAACTGAAAAACCAGTAAGCCAGGAATGGGGAACCTTTTATGGCTCACTCAGGAATTCTAGAAGTTGAAGTCCTAAGTGACAAAAGAGCCAAGTTTCCCTACCCCTGCTCTAGAGGATATGAATGTCATCAGGATTTCAGTGTTTATTTGCGGAAGTTAAAACTATATATCCAATAATATTAAAAGACATTCTAGAAGAATTAGAATCAGGTTAGAATAACAGAGTTGGAAGAAACCTTGGAGGTTTTCTAGTCCAACCCCTGCTTAGGCAGGAAACCCTATACCACTTCAGACAAGTGGTTATCTAATTTTAAAAACTTCCAGTTGGAGCATTTACAACTTCCGGAGGCAAGTTGTTCCATTGATTAAATTGTTCTAACTGTCAGGAAATTTTTCCTTATTTCTAAGTTGCGACTCTCCTTGTTTCTTGTTCTTTGGAGAATAGTTTGACTCCCTCTTCTTTGTGGCAGCCCCTTAGATATTGGAACACTGCTATTATGTTATCCCTAGTCCTTCTTTTCATAAGACTAGACATATTCAGTTCCAGCACTGTTCTTTATATGTTTTAGCCTCCAGTCTCCTAATTATCTTTGTTGCTCTTCTCTGTACTCTTTCTAGAGTCTCAACATCTTTTTTACATTGTGGCGACTAAAATTGGATACATTATTCCACGTGTGGCCTTACCAAGGCAGAATTGCTTCAGTGTCAGATGTTAACATTATGATTAGTTAAAGCAAGTTGCTGAAAATGATCAGATATAATAAATGTTGGGAAGGACAGAAACTTTATATTTCACTTCAAAAATATTTCTACTGCTGCAACATTCACTCACAGGGTTTTTAAAAATTCTGCTTCTATTTTAAAAGTAATACATGTATATGTATATATACATATATATATATATATATATTTTTCTTTCTAGTGCTGATGAAATCATTTTGAAAATGCATGGAAGCCAATTGACACAAAGATACCTGGAAAAGCATGGGTTTGACGTTCCCATTATGGTACCTAAATTAGATGGCTTAGGTCTCAGGCTCCCACCTTCTACGTTTTCTGTTCTAGATGTGGAACATTATGTAGGTATGGACTGTTGGTTCAAACACAAAAGGGCAAGGAAAAGTAAACGGGTTTAAATATTCTTTTTCTGAAATATTTTATGGTTGTGACATTTTCTGAGAACACTTGATTAATTCTTAAAAGCTTTGGTTTCAGTTGTAAGCTTTAAATATCATGTCTTGAGATTAATCTAACCTGAATGAATGGAATACTCAAAACATTAATGTTTAGCTATATTTTCTCTTTAACAGTTTCAGGATTTTCAGAAAAAAAATGATAGTTACATAAGCATATATTACTATATTCCCATAATCCTGAGTTGTAATTTCTATAGACCTTTGCTGACTGGTTTATGCAGTGATTTAACTTTTTCATTTTTACAGGTGGTGAAAAAGTGATTGATGTTATTGATGTGGCAAGACAAGCAGATAGCAAAATAAAGCTCCATAATTACGTCAAGTATTTTACAAACCCTGAGAGACCAAAAGTATTAAATGTGATAAGCCTTGAATTCTCAGACACAAAGTGAGTATACAATTTTCCTATATGTATAAAATGCTTATATTTAAAACTGTAGCATATAACAATAATTGCAGATCTTCTGAATAATTTCAATAACGAAATATGAAGTTGATATGTACTTAAAGCTTGGGGTTATCCTAAATAAAGGATGAATAATGCAATTGCTTTTTCTTTGGAAAGGGCTTATCTACATATTTTTCTTATATGTTTAGTGGACTGTGGGAATGACCTTTGGGAAAGTGGGGAAGAGATACAATTTAGGAAATAATCAGACAAGAGGGGCAGGAACCCCCAGTAGCTTTAAAGGTCAGAGAAAGCAACTTAGAAAATATATTTCCTCATGGATGAAACAGTTAAAAGATATGGTGGGAACTTTTGTACTTTCAAACTTGCAAGATTCTGTTAATGTAGCTTTAGAATAAAGTAAAATTCAGTTCATCTAGTTGTGTTTCCTATCCAGCTTATCTGAGACAGCTGACAAATATATGCAAGGCGAATAAAAATATTTTTCAAAAGTTTGTTAGAGGTTACATTACTTTAAAAATAGCCTTTATTTTTTAATTAAAAAATGAAAATATGCCTGGGTTTATGCCTCTAAACCTAATCTATTAGCAAATGCTAACTACTAAACACATTGTATTTAATATTGTAGTTCTGCATAGAGATCAACATGTGGGATATTCTGTATTTTAGAAAGATAATCCGCTAAAGCTACTTTGTAATTTCATACTCTTGCATGACTTCTAATTCCCAATTTGAAATCACATACACAAACACATATGTAGTCATAACCATATTCTTATAAACCAGTTATTTAAAATATACAAAAATAGTTGATTGAATTAACTAATAATCTCTTCTTGAACATTTCAACTAGTAAAATAGGTCTAATTTGAAATAAGAGACCATTAATTTTTCTATATAATTATTTTATACTGTTGATATATAATAATTAAAAATTTGGATTTAGATGGAGACTTCCATTCTGTTTTTTTCTTCATTCAAATCTCATTATAGTCTATATACGTTCCACTTCAGAGAATGTGTAGCATAATTAAATAAGTCATACATTGGACTAATTCTCTATCTTTGGTGTTAACAGTCCAATCTAAATAGTAGTATGAGTCAAAATATTACTAGAGGAAATATTTTTTGTATTTGTATATATTAAGAAATCATTAGTCATATTCAAATTGCATTTCCTGTTTTGAATTTTAAAGGATGTCTGAATTAGTGGAAGTTCCTGAAATTGCCAGAAAACTTTCATGGGTTGAAAATTACTGGCCAGATGACTCGGTCTTCCCTAAGCCTTTTGTTCAGAAGTATTGCTTAATGGGAGTTCAAGATAGCTACACAGATTTTCATATTGATTTTGGAGGTACTTCTGTTTGGTATCATGTTCTTTGGGTAAGAAAACTATTAATTTCCTTCATATACAAAAGTACTGCGTTCTTATTTTAAAATTTTTGAATGTTTTCTTTTACATATCTCTGGATATATGTGTGTGTGAGAGAGAGAATAATGATTGGACAAAATAATACATATTTCTCACTTATTGAATTGCTTGTTTTGCTTTTCACAAGGAAAACTGCATAGATTTCTGATTTTGTTTAGCCAGCTGGTTAAATTTGAGAATTTTTCTCCCATTCTATCATTTTTTCCTAACTGCAGTAATTTCGTTTTAAATAGCAATACGGTTCTATACTTTCATTGTATTGCAGTCCTATGTGATATTAATGGTTGTAATACAAAATTGCAAAGATGTACCACATGTAATGAAATGTCTTCTGTGCATAGGGTGAAAAGATCTTCTACTTGATCAAACCTACTAATGATAATCTGGCAATTTATGAATCCTGGAGTTCATCTGTTACCCAGAGTGAAGTATATTTTGGAGATAAAGTTGACAAATGTTATAAATGTGTTGTGAAGCAAGGACATACCTTATTTGTTCCAACAGGTAAAAAGTTCTTTCCCTGTCCATTAACATATCGATGTATTGGAACTTAATAACTAATGTTCAGAGAATTTTTAATTAATTTAACAATTAAGTTTAAATTTAGAAGACAGACTCAGATATTACTAAGCATTTATAGAGATAGAAGTTGAGACGATAAAGAATTTGAAAAAGAAGATAGCTGAGGAATTATTTATTTGTCTATTCATTTCCTATCACATTTTCAATAATTGTGTATTGAAGCCTGTAAAAGAATTTTAATACTGCTGTTTGTTATTCCATGCTCTATTAATGTATACAGTAATTATATTTATTGTAGAGTCACCTTTGGTGAAATAGGTGGCATATAGGCTAAATAAATAAATAAATACATACATACATAAATACATATGTAAATACATACATAAATAAAATACATTAATTTTTACAAAAATGTATGTTTGTTTGTTTATTCCAATATAGGGAGAACTATTAATTCGTCAAGTTAGTATAATCATTGATAATATAATAGGGCATTGGTTATATTGAATTTAATTGACAGTTTAGTTCCATCTGTAATACAGTTTGGCAGGTGTGTTCTTCAGAAAAAAGTTAATTTTTGAGATTTTGTGGACATAGTCAGCCATGCTGGGGAATTCTGGGAGTTGAAGTCCACAAGTATTAAAATTGCCAAGGTTGGAGACCTCTGCTATATATGAGACAGATTTCCTGTTGAATAAATAACCTGTAATATAGTAACACATATAGAACAAAAAGCAGCTAAGGTTAATGAAACAAAATGCATTTAGACTTCAATTTATGACCACAATTGGGACCAGAATTTCTGTTGCTAAGTGAGGTGGTTTTAAGTGAGTTGACCTTTGTCTCCAACTTTGGCAACTCCAATCTTGGGAGTCCACAACACATAAAGTCACCAAAGTTGGATATCCCTGTCCTCCAGGGTAAAATATTTTTAATTTTATAAGCAAGATTTATGAAAGGATACAAAATGATGAAATATTTCAGTATATTTGGTAGTCCAAAAACTTTTGAAGTTTTCAGATAAAACTAGATAGAAAAATGAATTTGGCTTTCAAATTAATACTTAGTTATAGAAGGAAGAGTTATTTATTTATTTACATTAGATGTTTATCCCACCTTTATTATTTTATAAGTAATTCCAGGTGGCAGACATACTGAATATTCTATCCTCCTATTTTTCTCACCACAACGACCCTGTCAGGTGCTTTGGGCTGAGAGAGAATGACTAGCCCAAAGTCAACCAGCTGGTTTTCATGACTAAGGCAGGACTTGAATTCACAGTCTACCACTTTCTGGCCAGGTGCCTTAACCATTAAATGAAATTGGCTGTTGATTTGATTTTAGAGATTTTTAATTACGCTTTTGAGACAGCAAACCAATACTGATATCGATATATTGATAGTCCAATAAAATAACAGTAATATGATGGTAAAACTTTGATTTGAACAATATGTGCGTTGTTAAAATAATTTGCCTCTGTTGTGCTTTTGGGAACAAGATATTGTGGATATATAGGCTTAACTTTTTGTTTCAGGATGGATTCATGCTGTACTCACTTCTCAGGACTGTATGGCTTTTGGAGGAAACTTCTTGCACAACCTCAATATTGGCATGCAGCTCAGGTTAGAGTTGAAATTTCCTCTTTTATCCAACTATTTGCTTCTACAAATGTAGACACATGTCTTTGTTAAATTGGTATTAAATCATTTTCTAGTTTTGTAAAGATAACATGCTCATATTTTGCAAAGAATAGAGGGATTATCATTATATGATATCCAGTTAAAATGAATAGATTGTTCTGAATTGCTTGCCTTTTTTAAAAACAAAATTACATTAAAAACAAATTGGTTAAACAGGTATGAAAGAGGAATATATATTTTTTTAGTTAAAGTTAATTGAAGGCTGGAATATCCTGGGGTGCTGATGCAAACACCCTATGAACAACAGCCTTGGCTTTGGTTTATTCCACAGCTGAATATTGTACCGGTATGTGGCTTAACAGTGCCCATGCCCGAATGGTCGATGTCCAACTTCACGAGACAGTACGTATTATCTCTGGTACATAGCATTACATTCCTGTGCATTGATTACAATACTTAGCAATATCATATCTCCTCACTTTAGAAGACAACAAGCTCCCATTTGGCTTATGGTCAAGGATGCTGAACAACAAGGTCCTCCCTATTCATCAAGACAATGTGCAGCCCATCACAAAATTGAAATCCCATAGCCGAGCATGGAAAACAGCTATTCATTTAACATCTACCCAGCTTAACCCTGAGAATGTATGGATTGGGGAATGGTCCAAGGTATCTCCTTGTGGCCTGATCATAAGTGATCCCTCTACCAAACCACCTAGTTTTGCCCTCTTGCACTGTCTGGTCAAAATTGAACAGAATTAGGTAGAATACTGGAAGAAGTGCCTGCCCAGTATTAGTGGGGATGGAAAGATTCCTCTTGTTGCGATTGTGATACTGATATGTAAACTGTTAAACATATTGGACAAGATTGCCCATGACATGCATTCCCTGGTTCTCTACAAGACCTGCACAAAGCAAGTCCAGTTATGAGACATCCAGTTATGAGGCAACTGCCATACCCCTATAGAAATTTATATATAGTTATGTAGACTTTGTATATATATTACTTCTCTTCTGTCATGTTGTCATCATACACTAAATAATAATAAATAATAAACTAGCATTACTGAAAATATTATTTAAGTTATTGATAGTCCTCCACTTGTGACTAAGGATAGTCCTTTATTCATGACTAGAATTGTCCCTAACATCTTGGTTGTTGAGTGAAGTGGTCACATGATCACTTCACTCAACAACCACAATCCAAATTCTCCCAGTTGTGGTTATTAAGCTGGCTGTTGGGGAGAGGGCCTGAACCTCCTGGGCTTCATGAGGCAGGGAGAGGACTTTGACTTCCAAGCATACCTGGGAGACTCGGACCCTCTTTCTGCTTCCTCCCCGCAAGATAATCATGAGAACCTAGTGTTTGCTAGTGTTTTCACCTCACCTACGACCCATTTCAGAACACTTCCTGAGGGATCAGGAAAATGCCAGTATTCTGTTCCATTCTTCCATGCGGTACGATTTCCCTCCCTACATGGAAAAGAGGAGAAATCTCCTAGTGTATTGGGAAAATGGAATGGAATGTCCACTCTACTTGCAACCTTCCCTGCCAACTTCCCCATTGACTTTCTGAGAAAGCCAGAAGAGAAGATAGCATATGGTGATCATATGATTTCAAGGTACTTAGTCAATAAGTCATACATGTGAACAGATTTCCAAACACCCAAAATAATCTTGTGAGTGGGGGAAGCAGAGATGGCATAATGTTTTACAATATCTAGAAATGCTTTATAGCAGGGGTGTCAAACTCGCCGCCCGTGGGCTGGATGCGTAATGCGCTGGTCACGCCTACCCCAGTTTTAGCAAAGGGGGAGGAAAGTCACAATACGGCATGTGACGATAACGTGACATTGCGAGTTTGACACTCCTGTTTTATGGGTAGTAAAGCACTTCCTGGGCTATTGTGACTATGAGCAGTCATTAAATCATTGGTCAACAGGCAAGGACTACTTCTAATAGCAAACATCTGCTTCTTAATGGTTGAATTCAAGGAATTTATTAAAACATACTTCATATATCTGAATGCAGTGGATGGAACTTTTTGTTGTTAGGGAATATTTCATTTTGCTATACTTCATGAACAAAGTGAACAGTAATTATATATTTATATAAAATAATCCTTCTGAATTGTTTATTTAGGTGTTATGAAATGGAGAAAAGATTAAAAACTCCAGATCTTTTCAAATTCCCTTTCTTTGAAGCCATCTGTTGGTTTGTGGCCAAAAACTTAATGGAAACTTTGAAAGGTAACTAATTAATATTTTAAGAAGGATTTGAGAGTAAGCTTTTTTTCTTTACAATGATTTAATAGATCTATGAGCACATCATAGGCAGAGTAGCAAGTTATTTATACTTTGCAATTAAGAAAAATCAGGGTAACCAGTTTATTCAGTCTTAAAATATTATGCAAGCTATATTAATTTAAATGTTTGCACTTGAACAAATAGTAACAACTCTTCATATATCATCCTTTGCACTTATATTCAAAGGCTTTGAAAATGGAAGTAAATGCATTTTTCCCCTTTGGGATATGTACAGTTTTATGGATATGAAAATAAACATTTTCCTACTCTAAACTGACTGCTGTTTAATTCCCACTATTTTTTCTTAAGTACCTACTTGTTTTCACCTCGTCTACACCATTCTCTTTCTGGAAGGTTTGATTATGCTGTTATTACGATGTAAATCCTGATCCTCAAGCTTGCTAGGTAACAGTTTGGCTAGCACATGATTCACAGTGAAGATACTCTGTGGAATAGCTATCCCTGCAGATTATCCTACCGTGCACAATTTTAGTGATTTGTACACCTATAGTGCTGGCACAGATGGCTGCACAGATGGCTTCCCATAGTTGCAGGATTGCCCATGCATGATTTAGAGTTCTAGCCAATCCCTTTAGCTTTTCCATGTTGATGATAGTAATAATAATAAAACTTGGCATGGTTGTGGGGCTTGTGTGCATTGAGAAAAATTAGAGCTATGCCAGAGGTTCAACTATTCTGGACAGCTCTTGAGAGTCAGACAAAGAATGTCTCTCCCATAAATGATATTATGAAATGTAATTTACAGAAGCTCATACTAGCTCAGTTGTCACTTAAGTCAACAAAGACTGTGCTGGGTGTTAGAGTTCCTGGACATTTGGATAGGTTGCAGGACTGAAGACTGTTGGCTGAGCAATTAAGACCAGCAGCTGCAGAACTATTAGAAGGAAAGATGTTTATCTGTCACAAACATACCGAGATAGAAAACAAAGAAATAATAATATGTTGTTATAGATCAAGTCCAACAAGAAGAAAATACTTGAAATGAACGCACCAGAACTGGAAAGAGCACTATCCAGAATCAGAAATAACAGAACAGAGGCTAGTAAATCAGCATTGATTTGTAATACAAAGTAAAGTATCAATGGAAGCAGAATTACAAGATTTGCAAAGCTCTACCGTGGGCAAAGAAAGCCTCGCAAAAGAAGCAGCTCAGACTGTAAAGGTAAACCAGGGAGAGTTGGCTGTAGAGGAAGCCAGCAGAGCTATTTAATTGTTTTCATTCCAAAACCAGGTACTCTCTTTGCGTCAAAAAGAACAGAGCTTTCTAACTAAAGCAGTAGAAGAATCAAAATGCCCAAACAGCAGAGGAACAAAAAACAATTCCTAATTGACAAGATGATTCTGCAAAACTACAAGAGAAGGAAGACCAACTTGAATCTAGCATAGATCGATTAAAGAAGGCATTGAACTCCCTGCCACATGATTGGATAATAAAGTGCCTCGAAGGAGTCAATAGAAACATCAGAAGGTTTTTTCAAGGATCAAATGGCACAACGAAAAATATGGTTCCTAGTCAATAGTGATATTGGAGAGGTTAATATCAAGAGAGGAATCTTTCAAAGAGATTCACCATCACCACTATTGTTTGTCATGGCACTGATTACTCTGCCAATGATACCGAATAACCTAGGCCATGGCTATCAGACATCAAAAACATCTGCCAGTTTATCCCATCTCCTTTACATGGACAACCTGATTATGATAAAACTTTGCCTGAAATAAAATTTCTGCTCAGCACTGTCCATAATAAACAGCCAAGATATTGCAGTGGTATTTTGATTGGACAAACTGTGGCAGGCATACCATCAAGATGGAAAAAAATAGTAAAAACTTAAGGAATCAAGATTCCTTGTGAAAGTAAGCTCTGAATGAAGATAATCACTACAACACATACTGGTATCTTACAATGGTATCTTAACTATCCTAGATCCTTGGGAAGGTTCTGATACTTAACAGTACATTCAGAATTATCTGGTAGGAAGTGTAAATAAAACCAACAACAATATCAATATAGTTCAAATAGTAAATATATTTATCCCAAATTCAAGTTGCTGAGAAAAAGTAAGGAAAACTTCGGATATCTGGTTTGTTTCACCAGGGTAAATATCAAGATAGCAGTAGTCTGGGTAAAAACAAAATAAATTGATCATCAAAAAGGAAGAATAATAGGAAGTCTTGTGTCAAATTTACTTCTAAATCAAAATTGTTTAGTACTATGATATGGAAGAGATACCCTTTTAAGCATGCAAATTTCTAAACAATGAATCTGGCTACCATCTGTTCTTCAGAACTGAATCAGGCAGCCATGCCCAATTTAGGTTCAATTTAAAAACCAAATTGAGAAGCATTTTCATTTGCAGGTGAAACAAATTGGCCCTATGTCCTTTCTGACAGCCTGTGCCAAAGAACTGGAATCTACTGAGAATAGGGGCTCATTCTCATTAGTAGTGTTATCTAACTAATGAAATGGAACATCGTATTTACTCATTGGTGTAATTTCTGGAGAGTTACCTATTTATTGTATAAAAACAGCAGAATTGTATGCTATATTAACCAATTTCCATAAGCTTTAATGGATTATATACTGTATGACATGCAGATAGAACTGCACATGCAATTAAGGTTTAATAGGTTTTTCATTTTAAGGGGCCACACATAACCCTTCAGTATTGTTTGAGTTACTAAAGTAAAACAGTTATCAACTTTTCTTGTTAGGACAGTTTTGAATTAATGGCAGATTAGATCATGTATATATTGATACTAAGCTACTTTGTAGGGTTTTAAAAAGCCTTTCAGTGCTTAATTCTTCTAATGCTGGCTCTTTCAAATGTGTTGTTTATTTTTAAACTGTGTTGATAGGAAAACAAGTCAGGAATTCCATTTGGGCTGTAATAATAAATAGCAGGTATAATTTGTAACAACATAGTAATTTAACACTGTATACAAACGTCAGTTTTTCATATGGAAACTGGAATTAAAATATAATGGCTATATATAGTATGAAAATTTCACAGAAGGTACCAAACTTCTGAAGCATGCAGTTCTGGAATATCCCATTTAAAGCTATTTAGAAGAAAAAGAATTGCTGTTCAGTTTTTAAGATAACCTTTAAAATGTTATATTTAAATAACCATCTGTTTGCAGTAAGAGCTCTGTCCTTCCTCTGTAGTTTGGAAGTACTTTATACTTTAATTGCAGTACATTTCTGGTTTTACTCCATGTTTTGATTAGCCTGCATTGGTGCAAAAAAGTCCCATTTTATTTTCATAATAATTTTAAATTTTGGGTCAGATACAATAGATACTGCTTGATGGAACATTACTGAAACAATATTAACTTAATCTTAAATTCTCATTTCTAGAGCTGAAAGAAGATGGTTTTCAGCCCCAAACGTTCTTAATACAAGGAGTGAAAGCTTTACTTACTGCTTTAAAGCTATGGATGAAAAAAGATGTAAGTTTTACTTCTAAAAACGCAGTAGCATTTTTATTTTTCATAATGCAGTAGCATTTCTCATTTATATTTAGAATTTAGCTGATTTTCTTTTATTTTGCTTACAGCTTGTAACAGAACATGCCTTTGAAATTCCAGACAATATTAGGCCTGGACAGCTAATTAAGCAACTTTCTAAAGTAATTCGATCTGTAGAGGTATGAATAAAAGACATTTAATTGTGATGGTGGAAATTTGCATCATTTTATAGGGAAACAATTAGGGTGGGATTGAATAATGGTTTGAATCAAATGGAAATTAGTTTAATGAGCTGGATTGTTAAATATTCTATTATTTCATACTGCATACAGTCTGAAAAATGCGGTTTTACAAGACACATTACAGTAGGGATATCCTTTTGGCATCCAAAGGGTGCATTTGGGATGAGATAAGAGTTATACTGGGCAAGATATAATACAAGGTGTGCCAGGATTCTGGATTTTCAAGGGCTCTACAATTGTATCTTGCCCTTCCTCTTGGAGCATTGCTGCTGTAATGATTGTCCACTGTTACAGTGAAAGAAGAAGAAGGAATAGCCCTTTCCAACATCCCTACATCATTATCTGAATGTGAAATTGTAACAATGATCCATTCTAAATGACTTTATTTTACTTAAAGGAAGAGAACAACAAACCAATAAAAACTCAGGGAACTGGTGTGTGTCAAGTTTCACGGTCATCAAGTGAATTGGCCTCCATTCATCATTCCAGAAGAAGAGCAAGGAAGCTACGAGATCAGTCTATCAAAACACCTTCTAATTTGGATATTCTGGAGCTCCACACAAGGGAAGTTCTTAAGAGATTAGAAATGTCCCCATGGGAAGAGGCAAGTATTACAAGTTAGAATGAAATAAAATACTAAAAGGCTTGGGTACAAAATACTGATTGTAATTTATTACTGCTAAAATATTGTGTGCTTGCATAATATATCAACTCAAATAATTTAGGAAATATAGATTAAAAGAAATATAAGAGATTAGTATTAAAGATTATGTTATAAGTTTCCAGCTCCATTTCTGTCAGTTGGATATCTCAGTATACCATTGCTGTTTCATATTATTGCTTACCATTAGGATGCTAAGAAAATAATGAAAAACTCTGATATCTAGATCAAGTCTTGCTACGGTAATATTTTCTGTATGTGAGTTCTTAAAGTTGTTTTTATAGTTCTTCATTGTGCAATAAGGCCATCAATTCCAGCTGTACTTGTATTGGCTATCTTCTTGACATGTTTTATTTAATTTGTGTCCATATCAAACTAAACTGCCAGAATGATGGTTCCTTTTTGGCTTTATCATTGGCCAGAAACAAATCACTTTCGGTGCATTCAATCAACAGATCAACAAAAGGGCTTGCTTTTTATATTCTCACAGCATATTGCTAGTTGCCAGCAACCTCCACTTGAGCATGTTGGTCTTGTCTTACCTTAACCTATTCAATATCCTCCTTGACATGTTGATGCAATATGTATAATTATGTGTGCTAAGCCTCATTAATCTAGAGAATGGAAGTAGAATCAGGTATTATGAAGTACAGAATTTAATAATTTCCTATTTGGGCATGATAATTTGTACATATAAACCTGTGTTATAATTATTATTCACAATGCATTATTTCTACTTTAGACAAACTTTGCATCACCACTAATGTGGATTACATAGAGATTTTTAAAATGGAATCTTATTTTGTTTCTTGCTTTAGGACACAACAAATTATAAATTGAATGGAAGGTTTAACAAGCCACTTCAACCATCTTCCACTGTTCCAGAATGGAGAACAAAAGACAATGATTTACGGCTTTTGTTATCAAATGGAAGAATAATTAGGTACTAAATAAATGTTACATGACTTTTGCTTTATTGAATTTTGCTAATTCTGTTCACTTTTCAATTGATCAATTGAGGTGAGAAATGGATATACTGTGTTTCCCTGAAAATACAACCTACTCAGAAAGTACTAACTTGATTTTTACACATGCATTCAATATAAGCCCTACCCCCAAAATAAACCCTAATTAAGACCCCACCCACACCAGGGTGCATGGGTAAAATTAGCATGTGGATGGGAGAGTGGAGCTGCTCTACTACTTTATCTTTGGATAGTTGCAGCCAGGCCTCGCACACCTTGGCCCATTTCTTCTGTAGCCAGCAGGGCTTTCCTAAAGGCCTCTGTAGGCGATAACAGAGCTCCAGAGGTGTGCGAGGCCTGGCTGCAACTATCTGAAGCTGAAGAAGTTCCTGAAGGCCTCTGATAGCGAAAAGGATGCGGGGGGTGACGCACGCAAGTAAAGTGAGTCAGTGGGCAACATTCCCCCCCCCCCCCGAAAGTAAGACCTGGTGGCTTTTTGGGTGGCACAGAAAATAATGACAAGGTCTTATTTTGGGGGAAGCACAGGTAGTTTATATGTAACTTTTTAAAAGGAAAGAATGTGGAACAGGAAATGTACTGTTAACTTGTAAGGCCAGATTCAGGTTTGTGGAGGACCCTGCTTCTCTATTAATGAAGTTTGGCATGGAAACAATAACGGAAGTTATTGTTTCCATGCCAAGTAAGGAAGTACTGTGCAGATTTGGTTATAAAAGGGAAGCTAAATCCAGGTAGTTTGTGCTGTATGGAGTGCTGTGTTCAGAAAAAATATTGGCTCAGAGAAGACACAAGTAAAGGTTCTGATAGCTACTCAGTATACCAAGTGTGAATACTAATGTTACTGATATGATAGTGATTTAAAGTGATTTAAAAGGACTTAAATCAGCCTTTTATTTTTAAAAAATCCCTAACAATTCTGCATTCTCTTCAGAAATTCATCAACAAAAATACAGTATGACTTGATACAGGAGAAAAATATTTCAGTTGATTTTTAGTTTAGAGTTTTTAATATTTATAGTGAACATTAGATATCACTCTTTTAAAAGATAAGAAAATAATAAAGGAAAAACTCCAATGGATATCTTTTACAACTGATTATTTTCTGACAGAGATGAACGGCAACCCTTCAGAGATCCGAATCTATACACAGCAGACAGTGAAGATGAGGATGAGAAGAAAATAACTATTAAGACAGAAGAACCGAAGTCCCAGGAGGCAGATGGCCATGCAGATACACAGAAACCACTGAACAGTATGTGTATTTTTTCTTGAATTAGTAATTCATACTTTTTTCTTCCTTTATTTTTATATATCCTGTTGAGATATATATATATATAATATATATATATATATATATTTTCTTAAGTTTTCGCGGGTACTTACATGTATGGCATTCGGCTTTGCTCGGGTATTTT